ATAGCAGCTGTCAGTTTCAATAACGTTAATGACTATATAACTTTATTTTAAAGAATAATCGTGATAACAATAACAAACAATTAAAGGAGCTGCGGAAAGTGTCCCCCTCCTTGTTATAACAATAAATTAAAGCAGCTGCTGAAAGTGTCCCCCTTCTTGTTCCAAGCACTTTTCACACCTGTTCCTCAAAGAATTAAAGACATTTTCTAAGATGCTCGGGGTATTGTTAATTTCACGAATCTTGTCTATAAGTCGAGCCTGCAGATGGTTTAAATCGGGAATAGGCAGTTCTAAAATAGTGTTTTTAAGGTAAGGCCACAAAAAGAAATCACACGGCGTAATATCACATGACCTCGGTGGAAATTCATGTTCAGCATTGAGACTTATTAGTCGATTTTGGAAAACTTCCCTCAACATATTCATCGTCTCGCCTGCCGTATGTGCCCTTGCGCCATCTTGTTGAAAGTAAAAGTTTGTAATTTCGTTTTGTTCCAGCTGGTTAACAAAAGGAGCGATAATTTCTTCTCTATACCTTTGCGCAGTAAGAGTACCATTAAAAAAAATAGGTCCATAAATCCTCCTTCAATTGAGAGCACACCAAACTCCAATTTTTTGAGCGTGTAGAGGGCCCTCGACAAAAAAGTTATCTGGTTTTTCAGAAGACCACATTCTCATATTCTGTGAGTTTACGTAACCACTTAAATGAAACCAGGCTTCATCAGAAAAAAAGGTGATATAATGAAGTTCACCGTAGTTGTTTAAAAACCATTCACAAAATACAGCCCGTCGCGGAAAATCAACTTCATGAAGTTCTTGCTGACAAGTTAAACGATAGGAGAACAAACGCAAATCTTGCCACTGTGTGGCAGGTACCGACTGATACTCCCACCATTTGTGAAAAACACGTACAGAAGTTCTTGGCGCATTTTCCATTATTTGTTGGACATTTTCTTTTAATTCTTCAGTCCGCTTCTTAGGTCGGTTTCACGAAAAACATTAACACAGCGCTGAACTGCACTTTGAAAAATTTTGTACTCAACAACGCCGGGAAATTGATTTTGAAATTCTATGAAACATTCCTCAATAGAATACTTCCATATTCCATCAATTTTGCGTCCATTTCTAAAGTAGGACTCTATGATAAACACTTTTTGTTCTTGAGAAAACACCATTTTAAACGTTTTTAAAACGAAAATATTGAATGACAGATGACGTTTAAGTTCATTTGCTATACGCTACGCCCTACGTCCAAATTTTCAGAACCAACTTGACCACGTTTTTATTTGAACGCTGGTTACATAGGGTTACTTGATATTTTAAAGAAATATTAGATAATTTTTGCTTAAGTAATGGCTGCTATTATTTACCGTGTACCTTTGCTAATTCCATGCGTCAATTGACCTGATAAATTAAACCCATTGGGTAAATTTAATTACAAGCAGATAATTACGAGTATATTTCTTAGAGACCACATTAAGGTTGCGCATGCATATTAGCTAATAATTTATTGTTTTTGTCACATTTTAATTAACTGGTGTGACGCAAGAGTTGATGAATTATTATTATAATAGAGTCCGTGTGCTCTAGACAAGCAAAAACCGCTCATTTGCTTTAATTTAATGGAAAATCAAAATTTTTCGAATATCGTGATTATTCTAGCTGGTTTAAAACAGAGCGAAATACAGGGTGAGTCAGTTTTTTGTGGTAAAATTTTAACAGTTGCACTGCATATAATCATGTACCAAAGGAAAAGAAAAAGAAGAATCCAGAAGAGAAACAAGAAGAAACAAGAGGAAAAAGAAGTCGACAAAAACCAAAATGGCAAGATGATTATGTAACAGATTTTAATGACAATGATGAAGCAATGTTTACATTATTAACTTAATGACGTTCCGTTAACTTATGAAGATATAGATTTAAGGTAAAATAAGAAATTGTGTAAAAAAGCCATAGATGAAGAGATAGAAGTATTACATGAACGTCAAACTTGGGATGTTGTACCACAAAAAGGTGACATAGATACTGTAGATATACCACTTTTTTGGCTCCTTGATGATGTTGAATTCTGAAATTTTTGAACGTCAGTCAACTTGTGTGGTACAAACCTTGCACACACTTTTTGGTAGACCAAATGTTCGGCCAAAATGCGATAAATTGATGTTTTTGACGTGCTCAATTCCAGTTCCATGGATTTTGGCTGATCTTTGATGAATGTATTTGAGTTTAGCCTCTTATTTATTTCTTCTCTTCCATTTAGTTATTCCTGTTATTTTCCTCGTTAATTTCATTTTTGCTGTCATTAGTTTAGTCTTATGTCTGGAACCCCACGATTCTCTTACGGTGTGTTGCCATTGTGAGCATAATATACTTTTAATTCTGTCTTTATTAATTACCTCCTTTTCAAATTATCATTATGTCTTAAAGAGATGGCAGCGGAAGCCTAAATGGGACAAGGTTGATTATATTAGTAGCAGTCAACCAGAATGCGACAACACAGTGCCACCGAATCTAGATGCGTCGCGTCGGCGAGAACTTTAATTTTTTTCCCAGGATTCCGAGGAAACATTTCATCCGTCGTTACGTTTCTATTTAGTTCGGTAAATGAATTGCGCTTTGAGCGATTTTAAAACGAATCAACTTCCCCGGAGATTACTCACCGGCTTTATTTATAACTAACAGTTCCGAAGCGTCCGATTCCAGCTGCACGGATACTTTTTTAAACCGGCGGAATAACGTCGATTCTCGGTAGTGTGGTCGCGGACACACTTTCATATAGGAATTGCGATGATCTCTCCTCGCTTAGTAACAATCTGCTGTATAAATAACTCATAAGTAACACTCGCCAAGGAGCGCTATGTTTAAAAATACTTGTAATTTATTAATTATTGAATTGCTTGCGTTCCTTTGCAACTTGCCTGGATTCGCTTTGTGATAAATTATGTAATTATCTACATATTATTTATACGTTTTTCTTGGCAGTATACTTTACGCTGTATCAATCTTCGATTCAATTATAACTTCAAGTTCTATACTGTATATAAACCAGGGATTCTCAACATTTTTTTTTTAATTAAACGTACAAATGATACAATTTTTTCTACGCATCACCATCTCAATGCAGGTGCATTAAAATGTTCATTATTATAAATCGGAAAGAAATATTATTGTCTTTCCAAAGTCAGTTGAACATGTATAAAAACGCCTAGCAATAAAATTTAATTAGTTTCATAGGCATCCCTAAAAAGGTTTTCAGTTAAAGTTAAAAAATTATAATAATTTGTATATAATGTGTAGAAAATTTCTATTATATGTTCATTTGGCCAACAACATATTTTAATTATTTATATTCTCAAACAATTTTATTATATTGATGAAATATCTTATTTCTCCCTTTCGCAATTGTAATATGAATGATTAATACAAGGTGCCTATAATAAATTAAAATCACCTGAATCACACCAAATTCTGCATTGCTGCACTGCACTGCTAGGCGATTTGTCAACCACTTGTCAACAACTAGATTTATTGCCTAGTCGCCCAGTGCGGCTATGTTATACACCGTTTGTCCGCACGTACATTCTTCAACTGGGCGTATGCCGAGTTGCTGCGTCAGCGACCGAACGTGGTACTGTCATCCTCTTGGTTCTTCAATTGAGATCGGAAAGGCTATGCACTTGTTGAGATTCACTGATTTAAGCTATAATGTGGGATCATAAACAGATATATATATATATATATATATATATTTTTCAATGAACTAGAGATTAGTTAGATATAAATATTAAAAAGCTGACGTCACGACCTTGTGATATTTTCAACTCTCCAGCCTTATTGAATACGTTTTCTACTCTAGTAGTGGTGGTATAATACTGCATACACATGTCGCCTTGACTTCTGTTCCAACAGGAGAAACGTATAATACATATAGGTACAGGATGTAATTTTAGGTAGGGGTCAGTTTTTTAGAGGTACGTCTTCTCTGTATACAATTTTTTTAAATCAAATAACTAATCGAGTTATAATAATTTTTTTTAATGCACTTTAATTCTTGTTCATACCGTCACCATATTTTTTTGATATTACTGTGGTCGAAGCGCCGAACATTAAGAAAACGTTCCATTCTCTGTAAAAAATAAAACGTTTTATATGTTTTATTAAATATTAACAATATTAGTACGTAGATACGTTACTAACTGTAAATAACTTTTTTTAATACCAAGTCAGAAACTAATGAAAAAATCATTTTGCTTTTCTGTGACAACGATGTGCTATTTTAATGTCACCATATTATTTTGATGTCTATGTGGAAGAAACGCCAAAAAAAATTGTTTTTATAAAATTAAAAATTTTCGCAATTTATTGCTTTTTAATAACCTTTCCTTTAAATTATGAGATTATATTTGACAACAGTGCATAGCCCAGTGTAATTGTGCATGCGCTGTAAGTAACGTCCTTTTGTTTGAAATAACACTAACTTGTCCAGCGGCGGGGTATGAAAATTACTAAAAAAAAGATTAAAAAATAAACTATTGATACGTGTTTCTAAAGGTTAAAGGTATCCTTCGTATAAGTACGACCTCCCATTCAAAGATATACCCTTTATATTAAACAAAGGGCAGACCAGCATATTAAAATGTATAGATTATGTCAAATTTATTACATTTGATGGATTAGAAAACAAATTGTCTAATATACTTTTAATATACTCTTATATAGATGGTCAAAGGGATGGTCAAAAACTAACAATTATAAATAATTTAGTCATAGTTATATGTTTAGAATTGAATAGGTAAAAAATTATAATTTATATTAATCTATCAGCGCTACCTTGAAATGTACGTTTTTAGATGTAATAATGCATAACTTGAAAAGTTAAAAGAGAAAATATTTATAACCTCTATTTTTTGCGATCGTGTTCCAAGTGAGGGGCTAATACATTGCATAATTGTTAGCGCTGCGAAGAGAACGTAAATTATCAGATTCCTTTCAACTGATTTCAGATAAACCCTTCCACTGCCGACCCGGTCACCCAACAGATCCAGAGTAAGCTAGGCGACTTCCAACGGGTGAGACACTTCCTCGACCAAAAAGACTCCGGACTGATCGGCGTGGATGGAGTCCCACCAAGTCCGGGCGGTCCACCTCCACCTCCTCCGAGACATCACATGTCCATGCTTTCTGGACCACCGGTGGCAGGTGCTTCGAGCAGGTGAGCCAAACGTGTTCTTTAGGAAATCGCCGCAAGTACCTGGCGTCCCAAAATCAACGTGCTAACCATGTCACGTACACAATTTTTTAGAGGAATCATTGAGGAATATATGAGAGATTTTCATTTATTTCTTAAATTTAAGTGTCTGTAGACAAATATTTATTAAAAATGATCAACTCAGCTATAGTATACAGGGTGATTCACAACTTTTCGTAAAAAATTTGGGAATAGATGCGGCGTGAGAAATGGAGTCAATATCTTAAAAAAAATTTTGTAAAATCCTTATAGTTTCCGCGAAAAAAATGAATTGAAGTTGTAGTACATTCAGCCATTACATAGCTGGACAAGCCACGTGGCCTCAGCGACTCCGAATACTGAAATCCGATTTTACAATCGTCGTTCCGTCAGTGTTTACGTGTTTATCTATGGTGTTTACACTAGTTTTTTAGTAGTTAGTGTCGAAATGACTTGCGTGTATAGCAACTTTTTCATATGTCGGAAGGGCAACTTAAAACTTTGAATTTAACCACTGCTAGCTGATCTTTCGCTAAAAGATTAATTGTGAATCGTTATCGCATATTTCCTAAAAACACGTCTTCTTTTTCTTAAGACAATCAGTTTTTTTCTAATTTCCTATCCCATTTCATGCATTTGTGTACTTATGTTGGGACGCCCCGTATATTTCACTATTTCACAGAAGATTGACCGAATTAGTAGAGGTTTAGAACACTATTGAATTAATAATAAAATTTGCAACAGGAGTACCCTTCTTTAAAAACGATTCATTTATTTAACAGCTAAAATTTCGACATAAATATTTAACGACGTCAGTGTTTTATGACGCCTGGTTTATTAAATGATTACATTTATCTCCAGGCAGCATGTGGTAATTCATTTAAATTAATATTGATGCGTAAAAATAGTTTCTGTACACATTAATACACTTTTACGGGTTTTCATTTCAATTTACTTTATAATTTTTAACTCGGTTTTCTTAATTTTTAACTCAAATACGATCTAATTTTTTTTACAATACTAGAGCTACTCTACTCAAATGTATACATAGTTGCAAACTTCCTTATTACTGGATATACAAAATCCCTAGATTACCAAGTAAAAGAAAAAAATTTCTTATTTTCTTCAAAATGTTTTTCTATCGGACATCTAACATTCTTCGTCTTGACTTGTGGATCTCAAAATATATATAAAAAGGAAAGACTAATGACACTTTTTTTTTAATTCCGAATTTCGTTCAAATGCGCCATAGAATGAGTTATATTTTTAATAAAAATTTGTCGAAGTCAACCAATTTATTACACCCATGAGCAAGTAAAATAATTTTTTATGAAGCTGTGACCTAAAAACGATTTAAGGACTCGCTCGTTTTGTCCTGTACTGAACTTACAATGTGCTATAAGTATAAATACGTAAATTAGTAGAAAATACTGGTACTATTATCGCTACGTCTATACTTAGATCCCGTTGATCGAAATAGCTCAAATAGAAAAATATCACCGCAGACTGTCTGTGCGACGCCGTTGATGAAACGGATTGATACTATCTGGGTTACTGTAATGACTATCAATTAGGTAAATATTTACATGATCGTGCTACCTGTTATAAATAAACGAGTGTGAAGCCAATAACGTACGACCCGTATAGCTCGCTACTCGTAAATCACGTTAACTTAGAAAATACATTATTACCTAGCTGATTTTCCCGTCACGTATACGTGGTTAGATCGCGAATATATTTCAATTTGAATAAATAAGAGGCTTTCTGATAATGAAAGAAATGAACAATTTTGAATTTCTTTACTAAAAGTATACTGAACTCAATTCAAAAATCGTTTCATTATGAAAAAAAAATCATTATTCAGGTAATTAGTGTGCGATTATTTACGAGAGGCGCTCGATTTTATATTATCAAACGCTAAACATGTATGCACTACTTGATTCTCAATAAAAACTTTGCTTATCCTTTAAAACGACTGTTTTGCAGAATTTTAAGTTTGTATCAACGAGGTGTTCAGGAAATAAAAAATAAATATGTTTATGCTATTTATTTTTACCGAAACGAAAAAATGCCTTTAAAGAAATTTGTTTAGAATTCAAAGTTACGTGAGAATTTCCATTTGAGGACACACTTCAATTATTCCAAAATAAATTAAAAAAAAAAGAAATTGTTGGGTAAAATAAACACTGGTTTTGAAAAAACAGACAGCGATAGTTATAGTCTTTTCGAAGTCAGTTGAACATGTATAAAAACATCTAGCAATAAAATTTAATGTGTTCAAACAATTTCATTATATTGATGGTAAATTTCGTTTTGTTCCATTTCAAAAGGTCTCCAAAATGCCATGTTGTAATAATATTAGTAAACAAAATATCCCTCTTATTTCTCTATTTCGCAATTGTAATATGAATAATAGAAGGTGCCTATAATAAATTAAAATTACCTTAATCACACTAAATTCCGCATTGCTGCACTGCACTGCTAGGCAATTTATCGACCACTTGTCAACAACTGAGATTTATTGCCTAGTCGCCCAATGCGGCTGTGTTATACATCGTTTGCCCGCGCGCCCATTCTTCTACTGGTCGTATATATTTCTACCACTTCCACATAACTTCTTTTAAATATAAACAACTTAATTGTATTTGTTCGTTTACAAATCAAATATACCATTACTATATTACAATAATTGAATTTGGAGTAAAACTAACATTTGAATTTTAATTTTGGGGCATATTTTAGAATGGAGCAATAATTTTTTCAGGGAATGTACATACATATTTTTTATAAGCTTTTTATCCCTTAGATCAAGTTAATATAGACACGTCGACCAATTAAACTGGAGTAATTTGCTACTACTTTTTGTTAAAATTCGAGCAAACTAATTATCTAGAATAAGGTTAATTAGAGACTTTCTAGAGTTAATTGAGGATTATATAAGCATCGCAGAATATGTTTTCCAAATAAATTGAAATTATAGTTAGTATAGTTAGAAATTGACACGTAAATGGAAAATAAAACATATTTTCAACTGTACTCGTTCTACGTACTACTAAAAGGAACAAAAAAAGCATTCAAATTTCTATTTAAAACTTTTCAAAAGTGGGTCACACATGTTTTTTATAAATGTTTTCGACGAGTATAGCCGTATAACCATCGTTGTTAATGAATAAAAGAGAAAATAATAATACGTATTAATTATTTATTAAAGTGAAATTGTAGAATCGGCTAGAATAGACGTCTGTCTCTTTATTTCCCCTCGAACTTGTGCCGCTTTTGATCTCGACGGTAGCCGCAATAATTTCCACCGTACTCGCCAAGAAAAACAGACTAGAATTTAACGAAACGTAAATTTGCATGTTATAGCTATTCTGTTTAACTTACTGAGACGACAGAGGAAATAATTTATTCTTATTTATTTGCACTGCATCGTATACATAAGGCCCGACCTATAACCTTTTACTCCTCGGTGATTTTTTTTAACGGCGACTATTCTGCTTCTGCTTGATACAGTCCCACGTAATGAAATCAATAATCCGGCGGGGTTTGTTGTAGCACCCTTGAAAATAAGACTTTATTTCACATGCAGCCATTGAAAACATACACTATGTTTTATAGTAATAATTCGCTTTTGATTCCATCATTTCATTGATAATTTCGATTAACTGTGTAAGGAAACGGATAGAACTAAGATGTTTATTGTTTAATTCTAGGTTTAATTATACGATTGAAAAAGAAAAAAGTTAATAAAAAGTAATCTCAAACCAGCTATTCAACAAATAACTTATTGGACTTTAAATAGAGGGTAGCTCATCGAAAACGTACCGCAAGGCATTACAGGGTAGTAATGAACTTTTCGGCAATATCCAAAAACAGGTAAAGTTTGCTTCTGAGGGGGACAACTTTTGGCGGAAAAAGCATAGCAAAATCTTCAACCCCCTAAGTGGGGGTGCCATCCTCCAAATTTTTTTAAAAGGGAATGGGGGTCAAGTGTGGGGTCATTAGAAAGGGCTTTTAATTCTCTATACATCGATTCTTACTTTTTGAAAATCGATCCATTATTTTAGAAAATATGCAGCTTTGAAAATACGAACAATATTTTTGACGAGAAATGCGAAAATCGATTTAATTTTACTTCAAAACTTACGGTATTAGCTTGGTAAATTCCTTCAAAAGAATTCGCTGTTTTTTTTCTGATTTGCGAATTCTTTAGCCTGATTTTGGTGAGCAAAAAATTGTCCGCTTTTTGTTTCGTATTTAGATAGGCCACAAGAAGTTGCTAGATAACTGTCTTGTGACTTGTAGTTGAAGAGTACCAATACTGCCGAGTCTTTTAAATTGATTAATTATGGTGTACTCAATTCCAGAAAGAGTAGAAATTATTGAGCTTTTTTTCAAAAACAATGAATGCGGAAATCGGGTCGCCGAACTGTTCAACCAACGGCATCCTGAGAAACATGCGTCTGGAAAAATTGTTCGCGAATTGGTGGCCAAATTTCGCGAAACTGGCTCCGTTCATAACAAAAAGAGGCAGGTTGAAAATCCGGTACTAAATGAACCTACGGAAATAGCGGTATTGGGGCAAGTGGCAATGGATAGTACGCTGAGTACAATGCAATTGGCTACTGCGACAGGAGTGAGTCGTACAAGTGTCCAACGAATATTAAAAAAATACAAATTCCATCCTTATAAGATTCGGCTAGTGCAAGAGCTAAATGAAGACGATTTTGATCGTCGTTTGCAATTTTGCGAAATAATGACTGAACGAGCGATAAACGATAATTTCCTCTTTAATGTGTGTTTTTCGGACGAGTGTACGTTCTTCTTGAATGGTTTAGTGAATCGCCATAATTGTCGTTACTGGGCTGATACCAATCCAAGGATTTTCCATGAGACACACTCCCAACACCCCCAGAAGTTGAATGTATGGGCAGGTATTTTTGGAAATTCCATTGTAGGTCCTTTTTTCCTTCCTGGAAATTTGACAGGCGATATGTACTTGGATTTACTACAAAATGTCATCGACCCAGCTCTAACAAATATCATAGAGGACGACCCTGCTTACAATGAACACGAACTGATTTTCCAGCAAGACGGAGCTCCTCCACATTACTCGCTCAATGTGCGCAATTACCTAAATGAGACGTTTCCAGGACGCTGGATAGGACGATGAGGTGCAATTAGTGGCCCCCTCGGTCACCCGACTTAAATCCTTTAGATTTCTTTCTCTAGGGGCACATTAAAAGCAAAGTTTACAGCACTCCACCTGATACCTAAAATACCGTAAGTTTTGAAGTAAAATTAAATCGATTTTCGCATTTCTCGTCAAAAATATTGTTCGTATTTTCAAAGCTGCATATTTTCTAAAATAATGAATCGATTTTCAAAAAGTAAGAATCGATGTATAGAGAATTAAAACCCCTTTCTAATGACCCCCCACTTGACCTCCATTCCCATTTGAAAAAATTTAGGGGATAGCACCCTCACTTAGGGGGTTGAAGATTTTGCTATGCATTTTGAGCCAAAAGTTTTCCAAATTTGACATGTTCTTGGATTTTGCTGAAAAGTTCTTTACTACCCTGTAATGCCTTGCGGTACGTTTTCGATGGGCTACCCAGTATAACTAACAAACATATACAGAGTGGCTGCTTTTTGAGTTGCACCACTGGGATCTCGGTTATCTTAAGAAGTACAAAGCCACCATATTATAATGGTGCGTTTAGATTACGCGAATCGAACATGTAATGTAACATGTAACACTGTTCTACAGAATTCGCCACAAACACCACGATGATGCTCGATAAAGAGGAACTACTTATTAATTTGATGTTATGGTGCCTTAATAATTCCAGCAGATCGTGCAAAAGAAAACAAAAAATCGACGTTGGTGGCATACATGTTTATATACTAGAAAAAATTGTTTTGATCTACTGAAAGATTTGATATTTCAAGAAATCTGTGGACAATATAAAAACTTTACGCGAATGACACCTTAGGGCTTTGAAAATTTGGTAAATATATTGGGCGCATAATTGCGAGATTGCGTCCTCTTTTAAATTGTTTAAAACTGACGTCAAATAGGTTGGTGCGCCCATGAAACGAATGCTCAATGTAGGCGCGTGCTCTATTCGCAGACCCGTTTCAATTATTATACGAACAGAACGTTACATTACAGGTTACATTACATGTTCGATTCTCGTAATATATACTTAATTTAAGATATGTACCATTTTTTCTGTGCTTTTGGCTAACCGAGATAGTCATCAACTTAACGAACCGTATGCCTGACAACAGAATAACGATTTCCGAAATATGTATTCCCGTTTCGTAGTTCACTTAGTACGGTCATCAAAAAAGAAAGAAATCTAGTGTGTTTATATTTGTTACTTTGAGTCACACTGGAATTGACAAGGTAACAAACGTATCCGTTGGCAGCTGTTCAAATGCTTAATAGTTTAGTGTTGTGTTTAATATTAGGGCATGGCAAATTGCATCTACTGATTAGATGTTCGGAATGCTTTCAGTTTTAATCATTGGCGTGGGCTCCTGTAATGTGTGCGATATTAAATTTAATAATAGCCCATATACATATTGTATTGTGCGGAAATCAACTTTGATCTATTAATAGAGTGCAGAAGGGAGTAATTTAATACGATTTTAACTGAGTAAGGAACAAAAATATGATCAGTATTATCAGCAAATCTGTAAATTAAGAATTAATTTATTCCAATGAAAAAAACTGTTCTTGCAACACGAACAAGTTATTTGAAGTAAGATGATAAAAGTTCTTTTCAAATAAACGAGTATTTAAAATAGACTTAATTTGAGTTTATGCAAATTATAAAATTATAAAATATTTGTTAAGAATAATCCGTCCTTTATTTAAGAATATTTTATATCTGTAATAAAAACGCATTTTCCTTAAGAAGGTATATCGGGGTCCGAGGGAAGTGAGGAGCGCAGGGGGGGTTCTATGCTTTTCTTATGGGACTAATACCCGCTGCCAATTTGAAAAAATTGAATTCTATTGAAATTATTTGCGATAAACATTATCTATATAGCAAAGAAATCTACTCATATGCACATAGCATACATATTGACTAATTAACAACATAAAAATATCATATTTAAGTAGTTTTAAATTATATTTAATGAACGCATAAAGACTATGTAGATGTGGCAACAGCGCTAATAATTGACTAGCAGTTGTACACATTGCGAACCTACAGACCTCGGACATCGGAAATATTGCGCGTCAAATTCGGGTAAAGATGCGTACGCGTTCAAAAATATATTGTGTTTAAACTGTGTACAATATTATTGTTATATACAGGTTCGGAAAGTCCCCATGGTACATCGGCCGTTACGTGAGAGCGATAAAGTAAGACATAGAAATCCGTGCGATAGACAAGGATGGTTACATTGAAGACATTTCATAATCTGAATAGTCAGTCCCACTTCTAACCCGAAACGGGCGGAGACTATTCAGATTATGAAACGTCTTCACTATAGCCATCCTTGTCTAGGATTTCTTTACTTTACTTTGTCCCTCTCATGTAAACGCAGATGGACCATGTGGATTTTCCAGCCCTGTATAGCAAATATATCGTATTATCCTCGCGAAGGTTTACAAATCTTCTTTACTGATTTTAAATAAAGGATACATCCTTTATTTAAAATCCGTAAATCATGTGAACTGGTAAACAACGAGAATTATGTTAATTTAGTTCTAAAGAAATGAAATGACACACGCGCCCATCTCTCGTCCAAGTCGAAGAAAATGTTGGATGCAATTTTGAAGGTTCTGTGATAGAAATTACATTATTACTCACTGTTCGTGTTTTTAATCTCTATTTTAGTAATGTTACAAAAGTTTTGCAACTATAACTAATTTTTTAGATATAAAGTTTGCTGAGAAATATCTATGTTCCTTTGTTATTCCGTACAAATGCTTTTATCTCGAGTATTACTAATTATATTAATCAAGTAAAGAAAACTTTATGTAACCCTAAATATTGCTGGGTAATGATTACGATGTTTTTATAAACCATTAAATATATTAAAAGGATTTATCAACTGTATTTTTTATTCCAATAAATATATCACAGCTTCCTAGTCATTTTTAATAATTAATCTAGTTTTTTAAAAACATTACAAAAAATCATCTGTTGTGGATAATTTATTGTTGATAACAATGTACATGGGATTTAGGAAAAATGTACATGTTTGAAATCAATTTAGTTTTTTCAAGTCTTTCAAATGTATTCCCTTCCTTGCTGTCAGCTGATTGCGACGTTGCCACATTAATCCTCAAGTCAGACAAATGCAATTATTGGTTTCTGTTTCTAATTAATACAGCTGTACTATGTTCAAAACTTACATTAGTTTTACATCAAAAATAAGATAATATTGTGTACTGTCTATGGAAAAGTTTTGTTTCACAATTTCTAAATTTTTTTCTCAGTTATGCGCAAAAAAAGAGCCGCACCGTCCATCTTCGCCATATAAACCTATGTTAAAATGAACAACTTTCAACAACAGTATCTCAAAATCTAGATTCAAAAAAAATTTCAAAAAAATATGACGCACAGAGGGAGCACTGGGTAGTACGCTATATAAATTTCAAGTACATATGTGCATTTGAGTAAACCCAATATACCTCCTTAAAACAATTCTAAGTTTTAGCTTTATTTTCAGAAATAAAAATATTTAAATAAGTAAATAATTATGCATTTTGTAATTATGCAATGTTTTATAGGTACTTTGGCTTATGCCTAATATACAGGGTGATCTATTTTTTATGTGTGTCCCCACCATACTGAAGTTGACATTCCTTTTCGGTTTCAGACTCCAGCCGGCGCCCGAATCACGCACGGAATTCAAGAAGCCGAACCATCACCACCTCCACCACCCCCATCAGAGGGGCGGGTATGTCAAGCCGGCCGAGGGCAAGCCGCCCTACGGGGGCCGCGGTGGCTACCCCGGCCAGCCCGTCAAACACGGCAGCGGCACCGTCAGCCACCGATCCAACGGCATCCTGCCGGCAAAGGGACCGCCTCCGTTGTCGCTGTCGTCCAGTTCTTCATCTATTCGCCTCCACGGCATCGACAGAATTCCACGCAGTCCCTACGAGCAGGTACGTTCGCCGTTTTGATTGCTTTGCGGACGATGATGCAGCGCTCGGCGGGACATACAAAGGTTGGCCAGAATTCGCTCACTTATTCCGTAAACGTTCTGTGAAGGATTTACTCCGCGTTCATTAAATTAGATTTACCTTGAACGTTGCAAGTTCCAAATAGATGGAAGATAATTAGAGATAGTATCCAGAATGAGCTGTATTTTATTTCTCATCAGTGGCATTTAATAAACTATGAACTGTAGGAAGTAAATTAAATTACAAACAACTGCGTCTCTTCATGTATTTGTAGGCAAATCAGATCCAAGCAAGACATCTGTAGGCGTTGCTACAATATTTAAAAAAAAATAATTGGAACAAACAAAAATTCCGTCTTTAATTTTATACCTTATTTTACCATAAAAGCATACAAAGAATTCAAATTTGCTAAAAAAAGTTTTTATCCTGGTTACAGCGATCTGCCGTTTATTTTAGTTATTTCTTTTTTACTTTTTCTAATGTGGAAATAAAATTTGTAAAAAATATTCCAACCCTAACTTTTGAACGTCTGTTTTGTCTTTCAGACTTTAAAGACATTGTTCACTAACAATGTGAAACTTTTTTCTAATGTAACCTGCTGTATTGGTATCTCTTACAGACCGAGGTGCTAATGATGGGAAATAAAAAACGGTTCACCCTGTATAGCAAGAGATTAAAATGCTTCTTTTAATACCAAAAGTATAGAATAATGGCTCGAGCCATTTTAGTTCCCAGATATACAGGGTGTCCCAGTTTGAGTAAATTAAACTTTAACCATAAAAAAATAGAGATTTTTTTAAATAAACTTTAGTCCTGTTTCGTACTATTTTCCTTGGATAGGGTCGTATTGATTGGTTTTCAATTTTAAGAGCACAAATAGTACCAGATCATCTTGAGGCTAAATCATTATAAATGGGCCGAATATACCTTAATCCAAAACTGCTTTACTCGTATTAGCAAGTTACATTTTTTAAAAACACTAATATCTCGAAAGACGTTTGAGATAGGTTGAGGAAAACTTGCGGTGTCACAAATAAACAGGATGTAACAAGTTTGACTGCCATTACTTCAGCATGAGAGTAATCATAAATGAACAAAAAAGTTGTATATTACAGAGGCGTAAGATTAACAGTTTTCAAAATACAGCGAGTATTAATATTGGGGAGTTTCATCACAACGTGACAACAACGCTTAACTTAATGTTACAGAGCTGATGACACAGCACGTGTGCACGCGTTAGACTTGTCCTACGGAATAACAAAAATGTAAACAACTATTATTATGAAACATTTGGTTTCACACAATACAATTGTTTTCCAGTTTTTAAATAAATAAAATAAAATGTATCGATTTTGTAGTACGAAAATAGTGTTGTGCTTAAATTTTAGCTCGAATTTTAGTAATTATGAGTCTCTTAAAACAGGAACTTAACTTTTAATCAAATTATGTATTTGAAAAATATGTAATTGAAGTACCCAAAGATTCACGTCGTCCAAATAATCATTTGTATTAAAAATAATTTAGGTACTTCTCAAAAAGCAAAATTCAGTAATTTTTAAACGTTCAAGTACAAAACAAACTAAAACATATGCTCAAAATATCCACCACCATTTTCGATGCACGCGCGACACCTTCGAATCCAATTCAGAAAAGGAAATAGTGGTAACCAAAAAACACTCAGACACGGTCCAATTCCAGATACCAGTACATCGTATTATCAGCCAATGTTGTCACATTGATCGATATGAATTTTATCGAATTTTAAATTTATTACAACGCTAATAATTTTTTAGAATTAAGCATAAAGAAGTTAAAAAAAGTGATATATTGTATTTTATGGTATCAAACTTTTGTACATCAAGTTGAAGATTTTGATCATTTTTTTTTTCTCGGAAATGGTTAAGTTTAGGACCAATGTCATATAAGTTATTTGTTCATTTCAATGTATTCTATCGTCTGTTAAAATTAAGGCACTCAAACTTCTAACACCCTGAATAAAGAAAAAAAGCACTAAATTTCTATACAGCTATGTCCTCTCTAGGAATCCTAAAATTTCGATGCTATTGATTTTGGAAGTTTTATAAATTAATTTGATTGTACTTCATAGAAAAAATATTCCCCGCATTTTATTTGTAAAACAAGTAATTTTCGGAGTTATTTTTTGTTTAAAATAAGTTTAATTATTAATTATTAAAAAAGCATAAAGTTTACCAAAGGCAAACATAAAACAAGCATAAACAAGAACTTTTAAATTTTCTGAAGAATAACAAGGGGCAAATTTATACGATGCTGATCTTTCTGTCGATTACATTGTATTTAAAACTGTATTTGCAATTAAAAATCCTATACATTTGCTTTTCTTGAATTGCACATTTTTTTTATTTATTCGACTGTAAAATAAGTTTATTTCAACAGAATAAATAATAAATATAAATTATATATTTTTCCATTAAAATGGAAGATTTTTTTATACAACAATTGTAACTTAAATGAATTAGAATTTCTAAAACACTCAGTGACATCCAAATTCTGATATTTTTAATGAGCATACCTCCAAGTGTCGCCACTCCTGGTTGACTTTTATGCCAAAATCGTTGTTGAAACTTTAATTTTTCTCCTAGACTTTGTCACATCTTATAAAACTTATATATTAGTTTGAAGTTTGAAAAACAGAACAGTGTAGGAGAAAATAGTCAGGATACATAACATTTACAGTAACGCAAAATGTGGGGATCATCTGAAAAAACTTTTGTTATTAATAAATAGATAACAATAGTGGTTTTTGCATTGCTGGAAGCTAAAAATCTTCAAACAGTAATGTTTAAGTGTTATTTTCTCCTAAACAGTATATTTTTCATACTTCAAATTGGTATAATTTGACGTAACAATATTCAGAGAAAATAAAATTAAGGTTTGAATTAATAAATAATGCACCAGTGGAATAAAAATTGAACACAAAAAGGCCACACCAAATTATACAGTCGCTTATGTAATTACGGTAACTGTTTGAATTTCATTAGCAAATATTGGTTTGTTTTTTGTTAGAGAGGTTAAAATTAAATTTATTCTTGGGAGTACTAAAAATATCACTTTCCACCCTAAAATTAGGGACTACAACATAATTTTTAATATACGAAATGCAAATTAGAGTATTTATATACCAAGAAGGAATTAAAAAAGCTCTTTAGTCCCAAGGTATTATATTTTTTTAATTTCGTGGCCTGAAATAAATAAAATGTATTAGATTGTTGTAGATTTAAAAAACGTAATGATTTTCACACGTATTTAACATATTTTCAACGCGTCAAATAGAATAAATGTTAAAATGCACGTAATTAGTTTAAATAATTCAAAATATTATACCACTGGTTGTGAGACATCAACTGACATCTTTGTTATTTGTTTACATCATCTGGAAAGAATATTTTAGGTTTGTGGTGTATGTTCACGCACGCAGCTTACTTACGTAGGCTGTGACTTTTACCAGTTATCCACAAAAAATGCCTTCTAAAGCTGTATTGAATAATTTATAATGCGTGAGTGAATATGTTTACGACAAAGCCTTTTACTTTAGCCTTTTACTGTCTTTAAATCAAAAACAAACTACAATTAAATAAAAAATTACTACTGTTTATTCAATAAGGCATTTTAATCAACGTGAATATTCTAATTGTGGTTAAAACAAACTAATGAATAAGAATTGGTCAAATGAAAAAAGTACCTATTTGAAATTTAATGTCCATTTTAGTTGAAAATGAACTATAAATGCACCAAATATTTATTTGAGTTTTTTTCCACATGTACCTAGATTGCTGCTATCATATAGATAACATTTGTCAAATAAAATGTTATCACTTTATTTAATTTTTTTAAATATGTCTATTATATAGAACCTGTTCCGTTGAAGTTAAGCTTATTGATAAGAAATACAAATTTGGTTAGTTTAATATTTGAATTGTGAAAGTTAATTTTAAATTTGACAATTTGACATATTCAAGATACAGTGTGTTGAAATTAAGAAAAATATTACATTTATTCGATATCTTCGAAAATGTTGGATATTTGTAGATGAATCTTCGAATATAACTGCAAAAATTGGTTTACAATTAGAGATAATGAGAGGAGGGGAGAATTGTCACTAAAAATTCAAAAATTTAGACACTTTCGAGGAAATTGGATTTCATGACTAATTCTACATTATTCGAGAAATGAACCATTTTAACTTTTTTTATTTAAACTATACACGCACACTACTTAATTGTTTGACAAAAATAATTTGAAATTACACTAATTTCCTAAATGGTGATAAAAATGTGTACACTTAACATATTTTTAGTCATCAACAGACTATTGCTATAAGCAATATGCAGTTTTAAGCTCTAAAGGTCTATGACATTTTGAAAAGTGAACGAACACAGGAGAGTACTATTCAAATAAATGAAATAGACCCCTGAGCTTGGAAACCGATATTAACAAAACGTTGGGGCAAAAAAAATTGAAATTTGCACCATATATCCGAAGAGTTTGAATTATTCTACAAATAAAATATAACCAGTACAACCGTTATAACTATTATTTTAACAACTTTTTTCAGATTGTTGTTTAGAGTTATTTATTACTTGTGTGAGTTTTTTTCTTTTTTTTTTTAAAGAACGCAATATTTACGGAGATAACACTTCCTTCTGTTTTGCTTAAAAATTAAAAAAAAGAAGAGCTTTTGAGGCGAATGACGTTCACAGTCCTACAGATAATAGTTCGACTTATCATCAGTAAAAATTTGGAATTTTTTTATCAATTAACAAAATTACGACAAGTTAAAGTGAGAGGTATCAATTTTGTAGACAGAAAACCGTAATTTTTTCAACATTTTCATTAATAACTAAAAATGGGATAACGAAACTAACTGAAATTTTAGCAAACGATGTAATAGTGTAACAGGGTATTAGAAGAATTGACTGCCTTAATTGTAACAGACGATAGAA